GTCTTTCTGTTTCCCTTCTGATGCCCCACCCCCTTCATTTTGAATGATCTTAAACTAGAATAAAAAATAGAATTCTAACAGATGACCTGAGGATCAATGGATGTCAATTAGCTAAGACATCATGTTTCTACCCTCCCTAAAGTGCACAAGGAACAAAGTCCTAAATTTACTTCATATAGCGAATTTAGTTCTCAGAAATGTTAAGGAGATAGGGTTGAGGTCATCTCTAGTCATTTTAGAGCCATGGTAAGGAGCATTTCAGCTCACAGTCTCCTCCCCTCAGAACACTGTGTTTTGTCAGCCAAATGGACGCTCTGGAGATGCTGGGAGCTTGCTGGGAACCTGCAGATGTGCTCACTGAGGTCTTGCCTTCCCTTTTATTTTTCCAGGAAGTATAATTGGCATTTTTGCATATTTATGACCCACTTTGTTTTCAGGTGGATCTGTTTCATATATAATGTTCTTTCTCCCCTTACATTGCACTGGTTTTCTGTTGGAGAAAAACTACCATTCCGAGGTGGTTTTGTGCCTGTGACAGATACCTCACCTCATCCTTAGCATGTATGAATGCCTCCTGTTATCTACTGTGCCCCCTTAAATTTCCCACCTCAAATATACGATAAAGGAGTGGAATATTAACCTCTTTAAAATGCGTAGCATCTCAGAGTCAGAAGCGATCTGAGCTGCCACCTAAGCCATCTGGTAAATGTCTCTAACGTGAGAAGTCAGTGAACTGGCACTCTTAAATGTCCTCTTTCCAGGTGACATTTCCTCAGATGCCTTGTTCTTTGGGCCACATGATCTGGGCACTGCCTGACATTCCCCTTACTTTCCTTCTGAGCATGCACAGGCACGTGGCTCCAAGGACATGTGGTCTTCAAAACAAAACTCAGCCACTTAAAATAGCTTTAAATGATGGAAGCCTTTTATAGCAGAAGATACAGATGCCTTCGAAAGAAAATTAAATGTTAACTTTTTACAAAGTAACAGATCTCTTCAGAAACTTCCAGAAATCCTCCAGGCCCTGCAGAGCTTCCTGCTCTGAATGAACCTGAAATACAGGATGTGAGTCAAGGTGATATAGGAACCGACCTAGGCAGTCTTGGGAACTACCATGGGCTGCTTTCATGGGCAAGGGCTGTTCTCAAGTTGCTGGATTTTGTTTCCTTGACTTCTAAGAGAAACAGTGACGCATGCCTCCCTGCCTGGGTGTGCTGCCTTCTGTACTCTAGAAAGCACAGAAAGTGTAATTGGGAAACAGTGGTGGTCACCAGAAGAGAAATCGCGACTTCCTGGAGAAGATGGCAGATCTGGTCTTCTGGCAGCACTCGACTTGTTGATAAGCATCTCCTGAGCATGGATGGGAAGACGTGGCAGATCTCTGGCATTTATACCACCAAGGAAGGGAATGGAAGTGGGGCCAACAGGCTTCTCTGGGGATGTCCTGACACAATTCGACGCATACAGATTCCAGTCATGAGCCTTACCCAACTTGAGAGCTTGATTTTAATCTGCAGGATAAACCTTGGCAGGTGGTACCTGAAGTACTTTTTTTCTTTCAGAACATCTCGTGGGATGTCAATTTCCTGGTCCTGGTTTTCGATGGAGGTGAAGGAGAGAAGGTGAAAGAAACACTGGACTCTGAGGTTAAACAAGATCAAGCGTCATGAAAACGAGTGCTCTTTTAGTCATGTGTTCTGAGTTTTTTGTTTTGTTTCTTTTAAGACAAGGTCCCCATAGCCCCAGCTGGCCTGGAACTCATTATGTAAACAAAGCTGGTCTCCATCTCATCCAGTTCTGCCTGCCTCTGCCGCCTGAGTGCTGGGATTAAAGCTGTGTGCCACCAAGCCCAGCATCATATGTTCTATTTAACGACCTTTGTAAAAGAATTTGCTTTAATATTTTTGAAAAGCAAAATCTTTCCTAATCATTTCCTCCCACATCCCAGGTTTATATGAAGTTACATGACTGCACAAATTTGAAAGAAAAATAGTTCAAGAATATCAGTCGTAATTGTAAATATAAGGTGTTAATAAATTCCAGAGTCAGTCCTGTTAACCTTAGAATGCAACACTACAAAATGAAACCAGGTTTCTATAAAGAAAATTGATACATTTTTCATCAGAAAAGAAAGCTCATATATCATTTGGCCTTAAAGGTCTTAGTTGTTTATTTCTTGAGTATTTTCACTTTGTATATACACATAAAATCAGTTAATGCATGCCCTCCAATTATCTGACTTCAGGAGGTTTGAAATGCTATGATGTTGAAGCCACACAGATCAGAATAGATGGCTTGAAGAAGGTTCTTCCTCGAACCCTGTGGCATGGCAGAGCCACTTGCCTCTTGAATGCCCCTCTTGCCTTGGATGGGCAGATTTCCACTGAGCCAGCTTCCCAGCCCCGTAACTTCTTCCTAGAAACATTGGTCTGGTCAGATACATCAGCAATGGGAACAGACATAGCCGTCCCTGGGGGACAACCTGACTTCAGTCTGCGCTTAGGGTTCTGATATGGATGTGGCATAGCTCTGTGTGTGTAGGGGGTAGAGGGAGAAGAAGGCTACAGTAATGAAACAAGAACTGGTACCCTCTGACTCATCTATGGTAACAAGGTCTGCAGCAGAGCCGATCCTGCAAATGATAAGCCTTTCTCTTGATGTACCTGAATGGATCCCACAGTGGAGGCTGACGGCCATTCAGGGTGTCTACATCTGTCCTAACATTCAGAGGACTGTGGGGTTGGGTGTCCCACCCACTAGACAAGTCCAGTGCAGGCCAAGGAAAGGCAAAGGAAATAAATGAGCAGTATGATTCTAGGAAGAACTCAGAAAGGACAGCTATAATGTCGCAGTGACGCTGCTCTGTGCTGGGAAGCTGGTCCGAAGGCCTCATGAGCATTCCCTGCGGGGCTGGCTGAGGCTCAGGTCACAGCTTCACCAGTCCTGCTGCTAACACTGGAGAGATCTGCATTCCAAAGTCTTGGCATTTCATTTTGAAGGCACTTTTGAGGAGGGAGGGGGAGGGGGAGGAGGAAGAGGAGGAGGAGGAAGAGGAGAAGGAAGCGGAGGAGGGAGTCCACTCTCATAGATAATCACCAAGTTATTTCTGTTATTTCGTCTGTACCTAATAAGGAAGGGTTTGCGTTGGCTCTTCTCACTTCCTGCATTCCTGGGGCACTGGTCTTCGAAGCAGTTCTGGCCATGATGAGCTCTGAATCTTCAACAAACCTGATGGTCATCTTGCAGAGACCAAATATGGCAGGAGTTCATGGATGATGTGTGGTTGGACATAAAGCCTAAATCAGTCTTGTTCAGCTGGAGGTGGATCCCTCAAACGAGAAGTGTCGAAGGTCCCCAAGACTTCCCACTTGCTCCAGGGACCTCTGACCTACTGGCAAACTCATAGATTAAAGCACAGAAGTAATCTATACAGGCTACGTGTGTTACCTGTATATAACACACAAAAACCACATGAAACACTCAGGCACACAGATCACACATGTAGATCATATACAGATACAGGCACATGCATCACATATATAAATCATGTATATGCATGTACACCTCATGCATACATCACATGAAAACACACACAGAGGCAAACCTAAAGATAATTAACCATCTATCCTAATTGGAGTAGAGATAAAATATGGATGCCTAAAAGAACATTCTGGAGGTGAGTGTGAGAATGGGAGGTTGAGGAGCTTCTCTGCCCCAAATATCTGTGGACAGAGTAAGTTACAAGGGGCAGCACCAAAGGCCCCATGAATGCTGTTCAGTTCTTCATGGATTTCCACAGTGTGTTAGCTGCTTCTCAGAACCAAATTTATCACCTCCTTTTAGCCCTAGCCTGCTTGGTCCCTACACCCTCCAAATGCTTTCCCTGAAGTTTTAGATCTTTTCCTTCTTTGCCTACAATGTATTAAGAGACTAAAGGGCATCGGGCAGATGGAGAAAACGTGGCCACCTTTATTGTCATTATAACTTTGAAGAAGAGTTAGGAATGTCCTCTCCTCAACCCCAGATGAAGACCTTCCCCAGCCCAGTTCAGACAGCCCAGGGCGAGGCAAGCAAATAGCAGTGCCCACATCTTAGTCCCCAAAACCCTAGTCTGCTGAATTCCTCTTGGTCAGCGTGATTGGAGTGACCCCACTGTAGAGAAAGGCAGCTATCGTTCTGTGGAACGTAAACCACAGAGGACTTTGAAGGCTTGTGGGAATAAGGCTCCTACCCACTGTGGCAGGTGCTGAATGTAGTGAGTGGGTCTCTGTTGAGGAAGGCTCTCGGTAAGGAGAACGGGAAGATGGGGTGATTCTTTTAGATTTACTCTCTACTTTTCTGTTTTCCTTTCAAATTAAGAACATATCTTTTCACAGAAAATCATAGTTATATTATTAAAAGGCCAGCGTGTTCTTCTACACACAAAACTTAATATGCAGTGTCACCCAGGCTGAATGAATGCAGTCATAGTATGAAGGTAGCGTGTATCCGTCATGGCATATCACAGGAGAGCTGTGTAATAAATATGAAATCTTTGGGTCATAGTTCAATAGTCTGCAGGTTGGCTCTTATCTTGGAACAAATGTGATAGATTGCAAGAATATACGCTTCTCCTGATATATGACGTTCAACACCTAAGGCCTTGAGCCTTGAGCCGAATATGACAAACAGTTACTGTGTCCACACTGCATCAGACAGAACAAAAAGTCTTCTACGTATGGTTGAGTCTGAAGGAGGGATGAGAGACTCCAAAGGGCACGGAAGCCCATAAGGGGACAGACCAGGTGAAGATGGATGTTTTCTCTTAAGCAAATCAGAATGTCAATGTTGAAGATGGATGTTTTCTCTTAAGCAAATCAGAATGTCAATGTCAGCCAAGAAAGAGAAGCCAAATAAATTTTCTGAGTCATCGAAGATTGTTACTGACACACAGTCTGATGTTACTGTGCCCCCGAGTTAGAAACCCTCGCCGTAGTGAATGTTTCTTCTTGTTTCTTTAGATTCTGGCCAACGTGATCATTTTCATCTGTGGTAACTTGGCAGGCGCCTACCATAAGCACCTCATGGAACTGGCTCTGCAGCAAACCTATCAGGACACCTGTAACTGCCTCAAGTCCCGGATCAAGCTTGAATTTGAAAAACGTCAGCAGGTAAGATGTGTTTTTGATCTTAAACCATCTCAGGCATGTGTTAGATGTTATTTGATGTTTGTGGCAAGTGTCTTCACAGCAGAAACTTGACTGTGCCATCACCACAGTGTGTGCAGTAGCTGTGTCTACACAGGTGGTCACGGTCAGCCTCCTGAGGCATTTTGGAATCAGGATGCGTTTTGATGAGGAGCTGGTAATCATCCCTGTCTGGAGTCATCCTACGGTGACTGCTAAGGTGATGTGTAGACACCTATACAGGAGAAATACATTGATCAGACTGCAACTTTACAAAGCATAGTAGAGACAGTGGGAGGTGTGTAGGGGCAAAGCACTCAGTGTCCTTAAGAACAGAGGAGGCCTAGAGCACAGAAAAAATCGCCAGGAGGCCTTGCAGTGGATGTGCTTTAGGTGGTGCCACAGTTCGTTGCTGTTTGCATTATGGTGACAAAATACTTCGTATCAGCCACTCGAGAACGGGATAGTTTGTTTCTGCTCACCCTGGGGAAGTCATGCGGCAGGAGTGTAAGCAGCTGGTCACATCATGCCCACAGGAAGAGAGAGATGAATGCTGGTGCCGAGTGTGCTTTCTTTTCATTCATTCTGGGACCCAGTTCCATAGGACGGTGCCACTAACTTTCAGACTAGATCGTCCCTCTTCAGTTAAAACTTTCTGGAAAAACTCACCCCGACACACCCAGACATGTGTTTCCATGGCAATCCTAAGTCCATTCAAGTTAGCAATGAAGATGAGAATTCACAATGGCAATGTGAATGGTTTGTCAGAAGGAACCAAACCTACAGAAGTGACAGTCGCTATGGTTGTCTGTGAATGCCGTGTCCCTCTCCTTTATGAGTGCCTGTCACATTACCTGCACTACAAGCAGTATTTGGAACACAGTGGATGCTTAATTACTAGATTAAGTGCAGTGAATTGACCTGTTCTATAAAATTTATTGAAGTGTATTTTGGTCGTGGGAGGAAAAAAATATCATTTAAGTGTTGGCTCTGGACTTCTCTTTGTGTACGGATTCATGACTAGTAATCGGGTTGTAGTTTTCAAAACAGGGATATTAGCTCATTTGTTTAGCAAATATTTATTGAGCTGCATTTGTGTCAGGCATGGTTCTAGCCACTGGGGTCTGAGTGTGAACTTCAGTTTCTCACTGGTGTTATTGGTAAATGTCATGGGTTTTTTATATTACCTTTCTCTTGCCAGGTATACAGTAAATGTTTAATTCATTGGTCTGCCTATATCTCAAATCTGGGTATGACATCTGGACCTCATGCTGGAATCCCCTCAGTTTCCCCATCCTGTGATCTCTACCAAAAGAATTCAGAGGAGACAACATACCATGGAAGATAGAATTTTTAACAGAGTAAACTGAGTGGCCCATGGCCAGAGGGACCATTGTAGAGCAGAACACTCTCTCAGGGTGACAGTGGACATGACCAGTGATCACAGGGCTGACCACTGGGACCTGAGCTCAGTTCCCAGCTCAGGTAGCACACAGCCACCTGTAACTCCAGCTCCAGGGGAGACAATGCAGTCTTCTGGCCTCCATGGGCAAATGCATCATGTGCACATATCCACACGTATACATGCTTTTAAAATTAACATTAAAAAAATCAAAACCAGTCAGGCATGGTGGTGCATGCCTTTAATCCCAGTACTCAGGAGGTAGAGGCAGGCAGATCTCTATAAGATCGAGGCCAGCCTGGTCTACATAGTGAGCTCTAGTCCAGTCTCAAAAAAGACCAAAAAAAAAAAAAAATTCAAAGCCATGAGATGTATGAGCTTGGTTCTGATATGGACAGATTATTTTCCATCAGCTTCAGACTCTGCCTTAAAATAGCACTCAGGGTAGAGGGACCTGGAATTCCAAGTAGACAGATCATATAACCCAATGTTTATAATAACAGGTTTGACAGAAGCAGCAAGTCAGGCTACTGACATCATCAACACATCATATTTCTTTGGCATGATCTAGTTCTGAGGAAAAACACAGTATCCTTGTCTCTGTGCTCCAAGGAGACTACGTGATCTGGAAGCCCATGTGGTCAGGGCCACTGCTCCCAGGCCCCAACTTGTGGGATCTCACTACCAGAGACTTTATGGGATGGTAATTGAGTTAGCAGAAGGGTGTGAATTCACTAGTTATTATACAAAAGAAGCCAGAGATTTTTTTCTAAAATAAAAAGTAAACACACACTTAGCAGAAATAAGAACTTATTTTAAAGATATTTAATAAAACATAATTTGGTCCATCAAGTATATTTGTTCTCAAAAGATGGAAATCCACTTCCAGAGACTGATGCCCTAAAATTGACTTTTAAAATAACATTGTATTTATTATTTTTATTGTATGTGTGTAAATATATTGCCTGCATGTCTGTAAGTGCACCCATGTCATGCAGTGCCCAAGGATGTCAGAAGAGGACGTCGAATTTCCCTGGAAACGGAGTTAAGGACGGTTATTAGCTGCTATGTAGGTTCTGGGATTTGACCCTGGGTCCTCTGAAAGAGTAGCCAGTGCTCTTAACCGCTGAGCTATCTCTCCAGCCCCAAATCTACTTTCCTTGTTAGGTATTCAGAAAGTATGTTCCTAGAATGAGAATAAATGTTTATATTTTTTCCAGAACAGTGTATAATTAAAGACAAATAAACTATCTTGCTTAAAAGAAAACGAGGGGAGTGACCTGAAGAGACAGCTCAGCAGTTAAGAGTACTGGCTGCTCTTGCAGAGGACCCAGGTTCAAATCCCAGCACCCAGATGGTGGCCAATAATCATGCCTTACTCCAGTACCAGGGTATCCAGTGCCCTGTTCTGGCCTCCTCAGGCATCACAAGACATGGTGCACTTGTATACATGCAGGCAGCACACTCATACACATAAAATAAAAATACAAAATATTTTTTAGAAAAAGGAAACCAGGGACTGGGGAGGTGGCTTATTGGGTAAAAGCACTTGCTACTGGAGCAGGACAACCTGAGTTGGAATCCCTAAAACAATGTAAAAACCAGGAAGTAGCACAAGTGTCTCTAGTCCCAGTGTACCTATGGGCAGGTGGGAGGCAGAGACAGACAATTCCCTGAGAGCCCACGGACCAGCTAGCCTGGAAAAAGCAGGGGAAAATCAGCAAATAGACCCCGTCTCAAACAAGGTGGGATGTGAGGACTGACCAAGATTGTCCTCTGACCTCCATACTGTGCTGTGGCCCATATGCACCTACATTTACACACACACACACACACACACACACACACACACTAGAATAGATGAATGACGATCTCTGTGGCCTTCATAGAAGGCATGAACCCCAGAGACCGTAAGGCCTGCATGGTCCCACAGACCCTAACTGAGGTCTTGCATTCCATGTTTGGTATTCCTTGGGTCCTACACATTATTTCCTGTCACCCAGTGTCACAAACTTCCATTGTTTCACCTGTACTCACTTTGTTAAACAGCAGTACTCTCATAATTCCTTCATTCAGGAAGCTGTGTGCTGAATAGCTAATAAATTGTTTTTCCAGTCATTAATTAGACAATAAATCCTCCAACCTAGTCTCACATAATGATAGCAGCCTTGAAGTAAGTTGACATGCCCACAAGTTTGAGAGGACGCAGCATTGAATAGCTCTTGGCCTTGTGTCATGGCTCCATCTTCTCTTCCCCTTGATGCTTGAAGGGGAAGCAGAGAGCAGGTAAGTCCCCAGGAGGCAACCGCTTCAACCAGAAGAGAGCTATAAACAGTGATACTCGACGGATGTGTTAAGACTTGCCCAACTCTGGATTTCATTTGGTTTGAATTATGTGATACTTTTCCTAGTGAAAATGAGAAGACTTTCTGGACATTTCACTCAATACTTGAATAAAGTGGTATTTGTGCTATAAGATTTTGAGGAAGAAGACAATGAAATTTTTGATAGTATTCTCAGGTGTATTTTCTCCCTAAAAGTCCCCTTGCATAGGAACAAGAACAGTCATGATTTTGACTAGACAGGAAAAGCCATGTGTTAGATCTGAGGCCCCCTTTAGGGGCTGGAGCGTTCACCTCTGTGCTTGAACAACATGTTGTCTGACACTTCACATCTTTCAGGAAACGCCACATGTGCACTTGAGCATCACATTGCATACCAGATGTCTCTCTATTAAACCTAGGCAAACAGCAAGTGCTTCTCTCTGGAGTGTGTAATAGTCTCTCAGGAACTGATGAGAGCTGGGTTCAGAGCAAAGCAGTAGCCCTGCTTCTTAACTGTTACAGCAGTTGAAATTAATGTGGTCTCTGTGGGAGTAAAAAGTGATTTTTTTTCCAATATAGAAAGAACAAATGCACTGGGCATAGTGACTCACACCTGTAACCCCAGCAGTATGGAAGGTGGGGCGGGAGGATTACCATGAGTTCAAGGCTAGCCTGGGCTACAAAGTGAGTGTCAAATGAGCCTGGACTGCAGAGCGAAACCCTGTATAAAAAAGCTAAAATAAAAATAAAACCACAAATAAAGAAGGAGGGAACGAGGGAGGGAGAACAAGAGCATGTTCTCTTTAATTTGTGTACTGTCAGGAACTGAAGAGTGTTTGCATGGTTTATTTTGCTGTGGAACCCCCCTGTGGATTCTGTATGTCAGCACACACATTTCAGTACAAAACACTAGCCAAGACGTGAGGCCTAGACTCCAGTTTACCTGGATTCTGAACACTGCTGGGAATTTAGTGAGACAGTAAGTTTCTTCTCTGGCCTTGGATGCAAAATGTTTTCCTCTCTGTAAAATTCAGTGAGCAGGTAGCCTCCTCATGTCCCTAGTTTGCAGACAGCAAGTGACTCCATCTGTACTAATCTGCAGACAGAGATCAGGAGTTCCTTGGAGTTCCCTGGAGTTCCCTGGGTATATCACTGACACTGCTCGTGCGTTTGAAGTTGCTCTAAAAGTGTGGCCGTGAGCTGCTAAAACTTGGTTTGGTTTGGTTCCCCCAACCCCATGAGGAATCAGAGAAGCAAAG